AAAACTTTTGACAATGCCATCTCAGACAAGGGTCTTAGAACACAAGTTTATAGAATACTACAGGGCCTCCACAGGAAAAAGACTTCTAATCAAATTACAAAATAGGCAAAAGATATGGAAAGACTTTCCATAAAAGAAGACATTTGGAGGGCAACAGACACATGGAGAAAGGCTCAAAATCACTGGCAATAAGAGAGATGCAAACAATAACCACAATGAGATATTATCTTGCCCCAACTGCAATGGCAAAGTTCAACATGATAGCAAGCAATAAACTCTGCAGAAGATGTGGAGAGACAAACTCTCATCCACTGCTGGTGGGATTGTAAAATGGTACAACCACTCTAGAAGGCAGTTTGGCATTTCCTCAAAAAGTTGAAGAGATATTCCACATGACCCAGCTATTCCACTGCTAGGAATATACCCGGAAGTAAAACAGAACTGAGACACAAATGGAGATCTATACACAAATGTTAACAGCAGTACTATTCACAAAAGAAAAAACAAGTAAAAAGTTCAAATGTCCATTAATAAAAAAACGGAACTGAGAAATTGCAGCATATTCATATAATGAAATAGTATGTGGCAGTCAGGAAAAATGATTTAAAAAAATACTATAAAAGACAGGAGACACTAAAGAGCATTATGTGTGAATTAACTCAGGCACATAAAGAAAATACTGCTTAAGATCATTATTGTAAAAAACAGAACGATAACCAGGAAGATGTGTATGGATAAACAAAGAGGAAAGAAGGGAAGAGGGCGGGAGGCTGTGAAGGAATTAGGAAAAATCCAGTGAGGATCTGAAAAAGAGGGCAATAGCAGCCACAGATCAATGGTGATTCAATTTACAAGACACATGTATGAAAATGATCGTAAGAAGCAAAGTGAAGGTCCGTGTTTAAGATCTGCCTGTGGTGATTTAATAAAGAAGCTTTGCTCCCTCCAGTGGGCTTCCCAAGGCTGTAAACTGCACAGGAGGAGACTGCATCTTTCTCCTTGGCAGCTGCTCGTTTCTGGACTAGCAGTGAAACTAAGCACTAGGCCACCAGAAATAA